TGTGGATTTCCGATGGAAGCACCCCACCTTCCTGGTTTTCTTTTGGATTTCCCATGGGAGCAATCCAAGATCCCGGTTTTCTTTTGGATTTCCCATGGAAGCAATCCAAGATCCAGGTTTTCCTTTTGATTGCCTCTGGAAGCGATCCAAGATCCAAGTTTTCCTTTGGATTTCCTATGGAACTAATCCAAGGTCCCGGTTTTCTTGCAGATTTCCGATGGAAGTACCCCAAGATCCCGGTTTTCTTTTGGATGTCCCATGGAAGCAATCTAAGATCCCGGTGTTCCTTTGGACTTCCTATGGAAGTAATCTCAGATCCAAGTTTTCTTTTGGATTTCCTATGGAAGCAATCGAAGATGCTCGTTGTCCTTTGGATTTCTCATGGAAGCATCCCAAGCTGCCGGTTTTCTTTTGGATTTCGTATGGAAGCAATCCAAGATCTTGGTTTTCTTTTGGATTTCCTATGGAAGCAATCCAAGATCCCGGCTTTCTGTTGGAATTCCTATGGAGGCAATCCAAGATCCCAGTTTTCCTATGGATTTCCTATGGAAGCATCCCAAGATCCCGGTTTTCCTTTGGAATTCCTATGGAAGCAATCCAAGATGTTGGTTTTTCCTTTGGATTTCCAATCGAAGCTCCCCAAGATCCCGGTTTTCCTTCGGAATTCCTATGGAGGCAATCCAAGATCCCGGTTTACTTTTGGATTTCCTATGGAAGCATCCCAAGATCCCGGTTTTCTTTTGGATCACCCGTGGAAGCGTTCCAAGATCCCGGTTTCCTTTTGGATTTCTTATGGAAGCAATCCAAGATCTTGGCTTTCCTTTGGTTTTCCTATGGGAGCACCCGAAGATCCCGGTTCTTTGTGGATCTCCTATGGAAGCAATCCAAGATCCTGGCTTTCCTTTGGATTTCCTATGGAAACACCCCAAAATCCCGGTTTTCTTGTGGATTTCCCATGGAAGCACCCCAAGATCCCGGTTTTCTTTTGGATTTCCAATGGAAGCACCCCAAGATGCCGGTTTGCTTTTGGATTTCCTATGGAAGCAATCCAAGATCATGTTTTTTTTTTTGGATTTCCCATGGAAGCAATCCAAGATCCCGGTTTTCCTTTGGACTTCCTATGGAAGCACTCAAGATCCCGGTTTTCTTTTGGATTTCCTATGGAAGCACCCCAAGATCCCGGTTTTCTTTCTGGATTTCCAATGGAAGCACCCCAAGATCCCGGTTTGCTTTTGGATTTCCTATGGAAGCAATCCCAGATCCCAGTTTTCCGGTGGATTTCCGATGGAAACACCCCAAGATCCCGGTTTTCCTTTGGATTTCCCATGGAAGCAGCCCAAGATCTCGGTTTTCCTTTGGATTTCCCACGGAAGCAATCCAAAATCCCGGTTTTCCTTTGGATATCCTATGGAAGCACCCCAAGATCCCGGTTTTCTTTTGGATTCCTTGTGGAAGCAGCCCAATATCGCGGTTTTCCTTTTTGGATTTCTTATGGGAGTTCTCCAAGATCCCAGTTGTCCGTTGGATTTCTTCAGGAGACAATCCAAGATCCCGGTTTTCTTTTGGATTTCCCATGGAAGGAGCCCGCGATTCCAGTTTTCGTTTGGATTTCTTAGGAAGCAATCCAAGATCCCGGTTCTCTTTTGGATTTCCTATGGAAGTTGTCCAAGATTCCGGTTTTCCGTTGGATTCATTAAGGAACCAATCCAAGATCCCAGTTTGTCTTTGGGATTCGTATGGCAGCAGCCCAAGATCCAGTTTTTTTTCATATATAAGCAATCCAAGATCCCGGTTTTCCTTTGGATTTCTTATGGAAGTTGTCCAAGATCCCGGTTTTCCTTTGGATTTCCTAAGGAACCAATCCAACATCCCGGTTTTCCTTTGGATTTCCCACGGAAGAACCCCAAGATCTTGGTTTTCTTTTGGATTTCCGATGGAAGCACCCCAAGATCCCGGTATTCCTTTGGATTTCCTGTGGAAGCATTCCAAGATCCCAGTTTTCCTTTCTAGGGTTTTTTCATGAAACCAGTCCTTTGGATTTCTTATGGAAGCCCTCCAAGATCCCGGTTTCCCTTTGCATTTCCTAAGCAAGATCTTGGTTTTCCTTTGGATTTCTTAAGGAACCAATCCAAGATCCCGGTTGTCCTTTGGATTTTTATGAAACCAAACCAAGATCCCGGTTTTCATTTGGGTTTCCTATAGAAGCACCCCAAGATCCCGGTTTTCATTTGGATTTCCTAAGGAAGCACTCCAAGATCCCGGTTTTCCTTTGGATTTTTTAGGGAAGCAGCCTAAGATCCCGGTTTTCCTTTCTGGATTTTTTTGGAAGCAATCCAAGGTTCTTGTTTTCCCTTGGATTCCCCATTGAAGCACCCCAAGATCCCGGTTTGCCTTTGGGCTTCCTGGATTTCCTAAGGAAGCAATCCAAGATCCCGGCCGGTTTTCCTTTGGATTTGTCACGCAGTTAATACAAGATCCCGGTTTTTATTTGGATTCCCTATGGGATCAGTCCAAGATCCCGGTATTCATATGGATATCCTAAGGAACAATTCCAAGATCCCGGTTTTTCCTTTGGATTCTTATGGATGCAATCAAAGACCTTTGTTTTCTTTTGGATTTCCTATGGAAGCAGCCCAACATCCCAGTTTTCTTTGGATTTTTTATGAAACCAATCCAAGATCCCGGTTTTCTTTCGGATTTCCTATGGGGCCAGTCCAGGATCCCGGTTTTCGTTTGGATTTCCTAAGGAAACACTCCAAGATCCCGGTTTTCTTTTTGTTTTTTTACTGTACCAATCCAAGATCACCTTCTTCTCTCGTTTTATGAAACCAGTCCAAGATCCCAGTTTTCCTTCGGGCTTCCTATGGAAGCACCCCAAGATCCAGATTTTCCTTTGGATTTCCTATGGAAGCACCCCAAGATCCCGGTTTTCCTTTGGATTTCCGAGGGAAGCAGCCCAATATCCCGGTTTTCCTTTGGATTTCCTATGGAACCAATCCAAGATTCCGGTTTTTTGTGGATTTCCTATGGAACCAATCCAAGATTCCGGTTTTCTTATGGATTTCTCATGGGAGCACTCCAAGATCCCGTTTTTTTGTATTATTATTTGTTTGTTTTGATTTCTTATGGGACCAGTCCAAAATCAAGGTTTTGCTTTGGATTTCCTATGGAAGCAGCCCAAGATCCCGGTTTTCCTTTGGATTTCCTTCCTATGGAAGCAGCCCAACATCCCGGTTTTCCTATGAATTGCCTATGGAAGCAGCCCAAGATCCGGGTTTTCTTTTGGATTTCCTACGGAAGCACTCCAAGATCCCGGTTTTCCTTTGGATTTCCTATGGAAACACTCCAAGATCCCGGTTTTCTGTTGGATTTCGTATGGAAGCAACCCAAAATCCCGGTTTCTCTTCCGTCTGACGTGCTGCTGTGGGTGCCCTGGTGGCGAGCGGTCCAGGAGCGCGAAAAGAGTATGAATTTTTGTCACTCTTCTGTCCTGCCTGCCGCTGGGTGTTCCGGTGGCTGGCCGCGGTCCAGGAGCGCGAAATGATATTCAGTTTTTATTTGTTATTTTGTTTTGCATGCTGCTGTGGGTGCTCCTGTGACCACGTGGTCTAGAAACGCGGAATTCACATAACTTGTGTTTTTAACGAGTCTGGTGTAGATTGCGGGGCATCGCGGCCTCGGGGTCGCGAATCTGGTCTGGCGAAATGTCGATGGACTGTGGCGTCGGGAGCTCGAATCTGGCGTAATTTGCGAGGGATCGTGGGGTGGGGATCGCGAGTCTGGCGTAATTTGCAAGGGATCGTGGCCGCGGGAGCGCGTGCCTGGTATAATTGAAGGGGGAGGGCGGCCTCGGGAGCGCGAGCCCGACATGATTTACGATTGACTGTGGCCTCGGGAGCGCGAGTCTGGCCTAATTCACGATAGGTTGCGGCCTAGGGGCCTCGCGCGCTCAGCAACAAGTCACAATTAGAAACTGGAGTGGCTGCGGCAAAGCTTGGCCCTCGCAGCTTGGTGGCCCCACAAGGGGGCCGGCAGGTTCCCCCCCCTTGGGCGCGGCGAACCGTGCCTTGTGTGGATGTTTTGATTGTCTCCCCGGCAGCCCTTGGAGGCTGGAGGCCTCCTCATGTTTTTTTTCTCCGTAGCATTTTTTGTTTCGGCTCCAATAGTTCCGGCACGGTCACTCTGGCCCGGCAGCACACGCGCGAGAGCCACGCAGACATGTCGGAGCAGGAGTTCGCGGTGAGGGTGAACGACCAGTTGAAGTCCACGGAGTTGAGGCTGTGCGGCGCGCTCGGCAGGGACAAGAGGCATGGTGCTCACATGCGGGCTTTCTGGGCCTCGACAGTATCTTTCTTCGTGGCGTTCGTGGGTTGGTTCGCCCTGAGCCCGATCGCTATCGAGGTGGTCCACAGCATCGACGCTTGCGAAAACCAGCTCTTCCCACCGGTTGCGAACCCAGAGAGGAAAGCATTCTTGAAGTTCAAGGCGATCGCGTCGGGGAAGAAGTATTGCCAGCATGGGAAGATCGGAGAGGATAACGATCCGACTGGGTGCCAGGATGTGCCGCAGGACGTTTGGGACGAGAGTTGTGGCGGGGTGGCGGCCACCGCGTGCACGCAGAGCGAGACGCTCACGGACGACGTCGATCTGTGCCCCGAGGCGTGCATGAAATATCCAGCTGCCTGCGGTGAGTCCCGCCACCGTGCCAGCCCAGCATTTTCATTTTCGGTGGCAGCTGTTCGAATCGATGATGATGATGATGATGATGATGATGATGATGATGATGATGATGATGATGATGATGATGATGATGATGATGATGATGATGATGATGATAATGACGACGACGACGAACCTGATGACGATTGTGATGATGAGCATGATTATTTCCATGAGAGGCTGAGGAGGATGATGGGGAGGCGGAGGAGGAGGAGGAGGAGAAGGAGGAGGAGGATTGTGGCGGACGCGGGGGACGAAAAAACATGATGACGATGGTGATGATGATGATGCTGATGATGACGATGATGATGATGCTGATGCTTATGCTGGTGATGATGACGACGATTACGATGACGATGACGATGCTGATGGTGACGACGACGACTACGACGACGATGATGATGATGATGATGATGATGATGATGATGATGATGATGATGATGATGATGATGATGATGATGATGACGATGGCGACGATGACGATGACGAAGACGATGGTGCTGATGACTATGATGGTGATGGTTATGGTGATGGTGGTGGTGGTGACCATGGTCATGAGGAGGACGAGGACGAGGACGGTGGTGATGAGGAGGAGGAGGACGACGACGACGACGACGAAGAGGAAAGCCGTCACATGTGACACCTTTCGTCTTCGTTCCTGCAGGGCCCACATGGACCTCGTTTGGTCGTCTTTGGGATGACCTGAGCTCCTGAGAGGCAGCCTTGGGGGAACCTTGCGGCCGTCTTGGGCCGTCTTGAGGCCCGCCCTCTTGGGCCGTATTCGGCCGTCCAGGGGGTCCTCTCAGGCCGGCTTGGGTCCCTCCGGAAGCACTTCAGGGCCAGCTTGAGGCCCTCTTGGGTCCGTCCTGGGCTCTCCAGGGGCCCTCTTGGGCTGTCTTAAGGCCGTCTTGGAGGCCTCTTGGGCTACCTTGAGGCCCTCTTGGGCCGTCGTGGGGCCAACTTGGAGAGCTCTTGGGTCGTCTTGAGCCGACGGAAGCGCAAAGGCAAGAATGCGAAAATCGTGCAACAACTTATTAGATTCGACGTGGAGATCCCCATATGTACACCTCTTTGTCTCGCGATGTCCGACGGTGTCCGACCATCTTGGGCCATCTTGGGGTTATCTTGGACCATCTTGGAGGCATCTTGGGCCATCTTGGCGGCCCTGGTGGCCTCCCAGGTCCGTATGGGAAGCCATCTTGGGCATCTTGGACGCCATGAAGAGCGCCAAGGAGGCGTCATGGCCGCCCAGAGAGCCTCGGGAGAGGGGGCGATGCATGCAATGGGGCGCGTCGAGCGGGGGGGGGGCCTTAGAAGATTACAGAAACCCTGCCAGACAGCACTTGGCATTCTAGCACGTCTCGACGTGTCAGGGGGCACGGTGGCGGATAATTTCGAAGTCCTCCCTAAGTGCGTTTGCAGCCCGGGCACGCACTGCGGTTCGACGATCCTGTATTCAAGCATCACCTCGGTCGGCATCACGATCTTTGTGCGCGTGGCGCTCGGCACCCTCCTCGAGAGGTTCGGCCCGGTCAATGTGCAGTCTGGCCTCCTGCTTTTCGGAGCCATCTGGGTCTTCGCCGCGGCGGGCATCTCGGCAGAGTGGAACTTCATCCTCATTCAAGGGGCTTACGCCGTTCCACCGACCCGCAGAAGAGGAAAGAAATACACGGGTGAGGCTTTGTTGAGCTCTTGGGGGCCGTTTGCGGGACTCTGAGGGCCTTATGTGGGTCTTTCAGAAGCATCCTGAGGCATCTCGGGGAATGGCGGGAAGCGCCTCCGGCGTGGACGTTTTTCTGAAGTAGCAATTTGCTCTCACAAAGCAGCCCAAGTATCATTTGGGGGTTGGGTGGGCGACTGCATGAGCACCGTTGCCTTTGTGGCTCGAGGCTGCGGAAATTACCCACCCCAACCCACGCCTGTATCATTTTCCAAGCCTGTCTTTGGCCTGACCGAAGTGCATTGGGTCCGGGTTGGGTTGCTCCCCAGCTTGGAGCCTGGTTGTTTCGCCTTCCCTGAGACCAGGGCGCGACGTTCTTGCCGGACTGTTCGGTACCGCACGTTTCCGGCCCAGCCCAATCGGCAACACAAGAGTTGTATAGCTTCGGCATGGGGACCAATTTGGAGAGCGGCCCGAAAAATGACACGGCCGAAAATAACGGTTTTGAAGCGGAAATCCTCACCAAACGAGAAGTTATCAGCATCGATTGTTGCAAAAACGACATTTTCGCTTGAGGCATCCTCCCAAAATGCGGGTGCTGGGGGATTTGCCATACGACGACGTTCCTACAAATGGAATGATGAAGTAGCTTGCAAATATTTCGTTTCTTCGGAAATGAGGCTCTTGCTGCAGACACCCAGAAAACATGCAGCTTCGGATTAGGTGTTTTTCGATACCAATCACTTAAAGATGCAGCTCGTGCTGGTCTGCCGTGCTCCTGTGGTCTGCCGTGCTGGTCTGCCGTGTTCTGCGGTCCGCCGTGCTGGTTCGTAGTGCTGCTGTGGTCTGCCGTGCTCGTGTGGTCTGCCGTGCTAGTCTGCCGTGCTCTTGTGGTCCGCCGCGTTCGTCTGTAGAGGTGCTGTGGTCTGCCGTGCCCCTGGGGTCTGCCGCGCTGGTCTGCCGTGCTCCTCTGGTCTGCCGTGCCGGTCTGCCGTGCTCTTGTGGATTGCCGTTTTGGTTTGCCGTGCTCTTGTGGTCCGCCGTGGTTGTCTGCCGTGCTCCTGTGGTCTGCTATGCTCCTTCTCGTTCTGCCGTTCTGGTCAGCCGTGCTCCTGTGGTCTGCCGTGCTGGCCTGCCGTGCTGCTGTGGTATGCCGTGCTCGTCTGCCGCACTGCTGCGTTGTTGGTCTGCGTTTCTAAGTTTCTTTGACATTATCAACGTGCGTTTTTCTGACAGGGTTCGTTGGCAAATCGGCGCATCCCGTTCTTGTCCGGTCAGGTTCCTCGAAATGAGCATTTCGTTTGAGACATGATCGCACGAACTAGATGTTCGCAACATCGTCTTTTATCTAAAAAACTTGCTCTTCGCTTGGGACATCCTCCAAAACATGAAAGTCATGAATTTGACGAACCTTCGAAACTGAGCGTTGCGCCTGAAACATCCTTGAACAAATCGAACAATCTTTTGGAGAAGAACCAAAACCAACATCTCAAGGATCCAGCGCGCCAGGCGCCCCTGTGATAAATCAACAAGGGGCGGCGGATATACTGGCCTTCGGCCCATCCCGCCGCCGCGCCTGGGTGGTGGGTCAGAGGCCTCTTGAATGTTCGTTGGGATATCGCGGTGGGCCTCTCGGGGGCCTCTTGGAGCAAGTTTCGAAGCCTCTCGGGGGCAGTGTTGGGGCCTCTTGGGGCCTCCTGGGGCCTCCTGGGACCCTCTCGGGGCGGAGGGTTAGGATTTTCGAATCGTGGTCCCCCTCTTGGGCCTTTCTTGTGTGAAGATGAACAGGTTGAGGGCCCGGCTCGAAACGCAGCAGATCAAGCAGTTTGGATATTTTTCATTCACGAGGTGTTCGAGAATTTTAAACACAACATAACATAACAAAATATGTGCCGCTGCCAGTCGTGTTCTTATCATATCAGGGGATCCCCTTTTGAGCTATCAGCAGATAACAAGTTATCATATGTGTTCCAGTCATTGACTGGGGCTTCCCTGATTTCAGAGTGCTGTGTGTGGTCGGTCGCGTGGCGACCGCTTTCATAACGGTCGACATCGCGGAGCTCGCAGCGATAAAAGACATCGTGTACCCATCATCATTGACACTGGTAGTGCGCAGCAATGTGTGAGAGGACGGCCGTTATGCAGAACACGCAATGTCACTGGCTTGTTCTTGCCACTCTACATATAATATAAAGACCTATTTCTTGCGATCAGGCACTACATGTCCCATCGAGAACCAGTTCTCGCACCGCTGCGAGTTCAGCAGCGCCGACGACGACCCTTCTCGCATCAAGATGTCAATCACCAGAGAGAAAAAAGGTGCAGCGCACGTTTGGTTGGATAAGGACGGCGCCCCATGCTACGACGGAGATGCAGCGGCAGAGAAATGGGAAGAGAGAAAGAGAGAGAGAGAGAGAGAGAGAGAGAGAGAGAGAGAGAGAGAGAGAGAGAGAGAGAGAGACAGAGAGACAGAGAGACAGAGAGACAGAGAGACAGAGAGACAGAGAGACAGAGAGACAGAGAGACAGAGAGACAGAGACAGAGAGACAGAGAGACAGAGAGACAGAGAGACAGAGAGACAGAGAGACAGAGAGACAGAGAGACAGAGAGACAGAGAGACAGAGAGACAGAGAGACAGAGAGACAGAGAGACAGACAGAGAGACAGAGAGACAGAGAGACAGAGAGACAGAGAGACAGAGAGACAGAGAGAGAGAGAGAGAGAGAGAGAGAGGAGAGAGAGGAGAGAGAGAGAGAGAGAGGAGAGAGAGAGAGAGAGAGAGAGAGAGAGAGAAGAGAGAGAGAGAGAGAGTGAGAGAGAGAGAGAGAGAAAGAGAGAGAGAAAGAGAGAGAGAGAGAGAGAGAGAAGAGAAAAAAAAAGAGTTCGGCTGGGATTTCTCTGAATGGAAAACAGAGAGAAAAAGAAAAGCTTCATCGCAAAAGTGAACGACGGCCTGACGGACAAAGCGTGGGCACTGCGCCACAAAGACGAGAAAATCAGCGTGACAGCACTCGGCAAGCATTTCAAGAAAGGCAACGCTGACGCAGAAAATGACGAGGCCATCGAGGCCGCGCTGGACGCGATACGATACTCAAGACGGCACTGAGTCACTGCGGGAAGGTGCCCCCCCCGACAGAAGCACAATGCGTTTTTGGAATTTTCCAGGCGCGGGCGCCGCAGACCCAACGAGCCGATCAAAGATTTCATCCAGCGACGAGCTCAAGCATGCGAGAAGCTACGAGACCTGACCCGAGGAGGCACGCAGGTTTCGGAGGACTTCAGGACCTTCTTCCAGCTCGACATGAGTGGCATCACCGAGACGCAGCACATGGCGTTTCTGGGCCAGGCGCAGAACGAGTGCGACTAGGGCGCCATTCGCGAGGTCCGGGAGATCCAGGTCGACAACATGGGCGCGCGAGGCGGACATCCGCGACGCGAAGGAGGACGCAAGTTCCGGTGGAACTCAGCCTTCGGAGCAATCCCAGAAGGCGACGAAGACGACGGGGACGAAGGCAACTACAGTGGAGACGAGGACGGCGACACGGAGGGCGGAGACGAGATGGACATCCTTTCAGCAGGAATGGAGGAGATCCAGACAGCCATGGCGGTGGTCGACGTCAACGACATGAGCGAGGATGAGATTTCAACCTTCGCGGCAGAGGATCAGACGGTCGTGGGCGCGATTGCGGCAAGGGGCCGCGGGAAGGGCAAGGCAGGATTTTCAGGACCCGACTACACCAAGCAGCGCCAGTTCATCATGGGCGGCAAGGCGAACAGAGGCTTTAAGCAGGGCAATGCCTACATCGACTTTGACGGCAATATCAGCTGCGGCACGAAGGATCTTCAAGACCGACTTGGAGTTTTCCAGAAGGCTAGCAAGTGCGGCGCGTGCGGCGAGAAGGGGCGCTGGGCCGGAGATCCAGAGTGCAGCAAGACCATGGCCGGCCGGCACGGGCGGCGCCTTCGGCGTGGCCAAAGGACGCGGACAGGAAAAGGACGTGCTGGAGGTTTTCTGGCTCGCATTGGCCTGGCCGGAGCCATGCTGGCGACCAGAGTCGGCCTCCCGATGGAGAACTACATGATCAACCCGACCGAGGTGACCAACAACGTCAGCAGCGTGGCGAACGCCATGATCGACACGATGGTGGTTGACCATGCGGCACCACCGGGCTACGCGGTACTGGGCAAGGCAGCTCTGGCGCCATGTGCCGAAGATCGAGCGACCGACAACCAACTGGAGAAGTTCAATTAGGCCGACATGCAGATGCCAACCAAAAGCGTGTTCAAGGGGACCAACACGGCGGCGCCAGTGCAAGCAGAGAGCACACAGGCAGTACCAAGCGGCATCCAAGGCAGGGGGACTGCACGCTCATCTTCGAGAGGCTACCCGACTCGGACGCCCTCATGCTCATGAGCGTCGATCAGTTGGACGCCCTAGACACGGTCGTCCAGGTCATGGGCAACCAGGTGACATTCAAGAAGCTATCGGACCAGCCTGCGAAGATTCCCATTCTCGAGGAAGAACCACCTGATGATCAAAATCACGGACTTCCCCAGGGAGACACAACGAGCTGAAGCACCGACCGTCAGCGCCAAGACGCTCGATGCGTGGACTGCTGAAGAAGAAGCTCAGTTTCCTCAAGGCGACCGGCCCATCCAGTCGGAGGCGGCCACGGACACCGGCATCATGGCGAAATCCTGGAAGAAGCAGGTAGTCGCATGGATCGCAGAACAAGGGCGCGAGCAGCGGGCTACATGGAGTGTCTCGCGGACCGATGCTCATCGGCGACGCGTGCCCGGGACAGTCGTGAAGAATGTTCACGGCGGAGAGTGCAACGTAACGAAGATGGCAACGAGCGGCGGACTCAAGACGAGTCAATGCAAGGGCCCGCGCACCACCGGCGACAACCTGCCACTACCAAGCGCGCAAGCCGCAACCATGAGGGAGCTAGAGGAGGAGGACCCGCGCCTCACCATCGCCCCGTTCCCGCGCGACGGCCTCTCCCCCATCAGCAACTTCTACCCGCCGAAGGAACGTCGGAGACGCCGGACAAAAGCATTTGCACATGTACAATTTACCGTTCAAGTGGTCAAGTTTTCGACTGGAGCAGAAACGACATGTGCAATTGGAGAACCTTCTATGCTCGCAGGAATGGACGATGATACTGCAGGCTCTACCTAAAGATATGCTTATATGGTTTCGCTGTGGCCAGCGTGCTCTTGGCCCACAAGACGACAACGGAGATTTGCTGCTCAAGCCTACGAGGCTTGTTACCTCAGCAGTGGCATTGGCGTATGCACTGGAGGTTCGATGCTCTCAAGATCATTGACATGGAGAGTTCAAGGTCGAGGCGGCAAGTCAAGCGACTATGCAGTATGGACACCCGGCCTGGCAGAGTGAATCTTGGGGGGCACGAAGCATCAGTACGGGTTGGAGAAGCTGTTTGGAGGTTCGACCATCCGCGGAGTTCCCATCATTACTGACGCGTGCCCCGCTACAGGCTTCACGTAAAGCTCAGGACTCATCACGGGCTCGAGCGCGGAGACCTACAACGATTGGCAGCAGGCACCAGCTATCATGAAGACAGCGACCAAGAAGCTGCTTGTTCAGTTTTCTCATGCACTACGAGGCGAAGAGCTCCCGAGGCACATCCAGAACGGCGGAGGCTCACCAGCGGCGACTTCGGCAGCAAAGCTCTTCAAGGGCGAGCTATGCGACGCTCTGCAACGACCGCCATCACATCCGATCACCAACCTACCGAATTGGACCAAGTTCAATCAATGCCTTGGCATTGACATCGCCTACGTGCCTGTCCTTTACGGAACCATGCACGCGCCTTTGCTCATGCTAGACCTGTCTGCCGAGTTCACCACCATTCAGTGGATGATTAGCGGTGGAGATCGCAAGCCAATCCCCATGTCAAACCATGCCAAGGTTGCGTTCGTGGAGGGCCGGCAGCGCAATTTGATGACGCCGCGGAATCTTCACATCGACCCAGACGCAGCTTTTCGTCTGGAGTTCGAGGCTATGTGCGAGGACCTTGGAATTCCATGCTTTCGAGTGGCACCCGAAGAACGCCAGCTGCATGGAAAGTTGGAGAGGAAGATCAGGTTCTTCAAGGAGATGACTACAAAGGTGTTTCACGAGCTCGAGGCGAGAGACGACGGGGGCAAATATTGTTGGATATCATATCGCCCAGACCATCAACCGGCTCTCTAACAACAAGGGCTTCTCTCCATCTCAACGGGCTCTTGGCGAAAATCCATTTACATCAGCATCATTTGGATATCTCAACGCCGACCCGGTGATCGCAGGACAAGTAGCACGCGGATCTCTCACGTGGCACCGATCACAATTACAGGGAACATGTGAGATCGCAGTCCACCAGGCAGCCAACAGCTCAGCTCTACGACGAGCGGTGCTATCGAATACCCGACCTCAGCTTGGGCCTTGCGAGCGTGGCGAGTGGGCCCATTATTGGCGAACAGGTGGAGGCAAGCGAGATCTGCATCGGGAATGGCATGGGCCAGCTCGAGTTATTGGATGTGATCAGTGTGGCTACTCGCTGACTCACAACGGGATACCCATCCTAGCAGTACCGAACATCCTACGGAGATCTACGCTCAACGAGTTCGAGGACCGCATGCCCGTCGATCAACGAGAATGGCAGGGGGCACCGCGTGGGCGGCGCGGCTTTGTGGACCTTCGGAACACCGCGTTTACCGCGCCAAGGGGGCCGCTACAACATGGACTACAACCTCAGCCACCACCTGCGCCTGCACAGCCACCAGAACCCCCATGCGCAGCATATGGGCTGAGTTCTAGCTCGTGACGGAGATGATGAAGATCAACCACTGGCTCGGCGGCGGCGCGTGCAGGTGGAGTGGCCAGATGGCTCGTGCAACATGCCGGAGTCATGGCCCCTGATCGTCGGCACTGAGTCCCGCGGCCTTCACGACGCCATTCTAGCTACACGGATTGCAAGATGTGCGACGACGACAGTTCCGGGAGAGGATGTCATCCCGCTGGACAAGCATTTGAGACGACGCATATCTTAACTGCATCACCAAGGCTATTTGGGAGGACTTGTCACGCAACAGTCTGGAGGTTCCTTTCGATATTCCTCTAGTGCGCGACGTGGACATGCTCGACATCGCGGCGGAATATACCTAGAGGGCCGAGCAATATTCATCGGGAGGACGTGATCCAGGAGGAGATGCACCGCCGCAAGGAGATGGGGCAGAAGGTCCGGCACCGAGAGGGCCTCCCCAATCCAATGGGCTAGACAATCCGCCTCCAGCAGCTACGCCCCCCAACAAGTCCAAGGAGTCAGCCTGCGCGAGCAGCTGACCGTGCACCTCGGGAACCTAGCGCCCCGCAACGACAACGTGCACGACAGAAGTTCAAGCGGAAGACCCCGGCGTCTCAGACAGTCTGCGCGGAGCGCGCGCACATCGGGCACAACATTGCCGCGACCGCCACGGACAAGCGCGCTCGTACAGCGCATGCTACCAACCAGGTGCTGTGCGAGGCCTTTTCTGCCGAACGAGCCGATCGGGTGACCATGGCGGAGATCAACGTCACGGAGGTGTTCACTAATGACGACGGATGCAGTCAGGAGCGCGCGGAGAAGACCCTCAACGCGCTTGTCAAGGAGTGGAGTACCTGGTCCAAGTACGGCGCAGTCACGGCCATCGCACCGACGATGGCCAAGAATATCGACAAGGCGTTGCATATCGAGAGTCGTGCCGCACGGACGAACAAGGGCAGCGACTACGACGCCAACTTCCAGCCCAAGCGCCGGATCGTCGGCAAAGGCTTCCAGGAAAAGTACGACGAGAAGTTACGCAGCGACTCCCCGACTCGCTCGCCATCAGAACCTGCTTTGCAGCATTGCAGAATGCAAGCGGCTTTCATGCTTTACTGGCGACGCTGCTGGCGCGTTTCTGCAAGGAGTCAAGATCGAGATGGAGCTGTACTTCATGTTGCCCGAGAACCTACCGGGCACGGGCATGCCTGGACTCGAGGGGGGGGGGGGGGGGCTACTCAAGCCCAACAAGAGCATCTACGGGGCCAACGACGCGGCATGGGCGCGGTGCATGCGTATCGTCCCGATCCTGTTCTCGATTGGCTCCGAGCAGCTGCAGTTCGAGACGGCCGCGTTCATACTCATACATCGTGGCATGCTGGTGGGTCTCTTGTGCTTACACATCGACGATGTGCTCATCGCTTTCGACATGGAGAACAACCGCGAGCTTTGCAGCAGCACCATCAAGAAGCTGAAGGAGCAGGTAGAGTTCTGTGCAGAGCACACCAGAAGGAGCGGCATGTACGGGCCGACGCTTCAAGCAGGACCATGACTATGTAATATCGATCGACATCGGCGAGTACATCGACGACATGACCGACTACCGAATGGCCCTTGAGAGGTTTAGGCGGGAGAAGGAGAAGTTCACCGCAGCTGAACACCGAGCGCTAGGAGGCATGAATGGACAGGTTCAGTGGGTGGTACGGCTTTTGCTTCACAAGTACAGCTTCGAGGCATCCAGGCTGGCAGGCCAGCTGACTCAACCGACGGCGCAGGACATGAAGGACATGAACAAGCTTGTTCGTTCTATCCGCCGCGAGGGGGAGATGGTGATGATGTTTCGTGGAGGTTTTGAATTCGAGAAGTCTGTGGCCATCGCCCCGCGCGACGCCTCATTCGACAACGTGCCGAACCACGAGAGCCAGCGCGGATTTTACATCATTGTTGGAGATGGCGACATGACGGAGGACCACACCAAGCTCTACCCATGCATACCTTTATCCTGGTCAAGCGGACGTATCGGACGTGCTGTACGGAGTGCCCTATCAGCGGAGGGCTACAGTTGTTCGGAAGCTCAAGATGTGACGTTCTGGGCTCGCGCAGCGTGCGCATGCATTTTTTCTCCCAACAAGCTCGGCCATGAGTACCGTTATGCAGCTGAATATTGGCAAGGTGTTTTGGTTACCGGCTCTCGTTCTCTATGGGATTGCACGGTCAAGGAGCGCGTCCACTTATCCGACCCGAGGTTTTCACTCGAGGCCGCCATTATCAGGCAGGAGTGCCAGCGTGGAGGCATCAAACGGGCATGGCCAGAACAACAGCTAGCCGACGGGCTCGCCGAGAAGATGGATACACCCTGCCAAGACCGAGTCTTTCATGAGGACCTCTGGTATTTCGGACCAGATCCCCGTACACCTCCTTTCCGGAAGCGCCAGCTCACCGACCTGCGGGAGGAGCTACATCGATCCCAACGGGTGGAGCTACAGGAGGACGCAGACACTCTCAACGCCAACTGCGCACGCCCAACAGATCACAGCGCCATGGGCGACATTAAGCAGGATTGACGTACACGAGGTCGCGCGTACAGCTGAAGTGAGTTCCGCAGTGAGTTTCGCGTCGTCGCGCGCGATGCGTGCAGCGTTGTTGTCAGGCGTACTGGCAAGCAGCTGTTCATCGGGATCAGCTCTCCCGTTCTTTGCAGCAGATACTGCAGCGAATGCAGCGCGTGACCCATCGATGCATCGACAAGCTTCGCGCGCCCAGGTGGAGCCGTTCGATTAGTGGTCGCAGTTTTTGCTTTCGCCGTCCGGAGTGCTTGCTCTTGGAGTTTCCATCGGGGCGCTGATCATGGCCGCGTTTCGTTTTTTGTTTCAATGTCTGTCCAAGGGGCAGGGGGCTAAGCAGATAATTCAGCATGTGCCGGAGGCTACTGCATGCAGCGCCGCCGAGGGGCGCCCGCGCGCCGCCGGATTCGACTTCGACAAGCCACCGGACACACGTACGCCTCGCTCCAGCATCGCCATATTGGCGGGCATCGCGGGGCCATCCGCCATCGACAAGATGAAGACCGACGACCTTGCGAGGCGGACGCCTGCAGACATCGAGAGGAAGCTAAACGCCATGCCGAACTACGCATTGCAAGGGACTTTGCGCGAGTTGAAGCTCCCGGTGTCAGGCATCAAGGTGGACCTTGTGGCGAGGATCGTCAATCATTACAACCGTGGTTGGGACTTGTCTCGTTTTAACGTGAGCACGCGGCAGTGTTTCTTCGACAGGTGCTGGAGCACCAATGCTGAATGCAGGTTCAGACAGCGCACTGTCTCTTACAGTGTAAGGCTCTTCATGCAAGCTGCTGATCCCCAGCTTCTTAGCTGCAAAAAGTATACTATGTGTGAAGATGAGCAGGTCTTGTGCTCAGCTCGAAGCGCAGTAGATCAAACAGTTTTGATATTTTTCAATTCGCTAGGTGTTCGAGGATTTGTTAACACAACATAACATCACAAGTTGTGTGCCGCTGCCTTTTGTGCTCTAATCATATCAGGGGATCCATTTTTGAGATATCAGCAGATAACAAGTTATCAGATGTGCTCCAGTCGTTGCCTGGGGTTTCCCTGATTTCAGACTGCTGCGTGTGATTGATCGCGTGGCGACCACTTTCATAACGCTCGACGTCGCGGAGCTTGCAGCGATGAAAGACATCGTGCGCCCATTATCGTTGACACTTGGGACCGTCTCAGGGCCCTCTTGGGTTGCCTTGGGCACCTCTTGGACCGTCTTGGGGCCCTCTCGGGCCGTCCCAGGGCCGTCTTGGGGGCCTTTTGAGCCGTCTTGGGGCGATCTTGGGGGCCTCTCAGGCCGTCTTGGAGCGTCGGGAAGCCGAAAAGGCGAGAGGCCAAACACTTTCAAAAACTACAGGAAAAGCACTGGTTTCTGCTTCTTGGGGCCCTCTCGGGAGGCCTCTTGGGGCGTCTTGGAGGCTTCTTGGGCCGTCTGGAGGCCATCTTGGGTGTTTTGGAGCGATCATTCGGCTATTCTGGGCCCTCTTGGAGCGTCTTGGGGGTCTCTTGGGGTTCTCTTGGCCCGTATTGGGGGGGGCTTTTTGGAAGCTCTGGGGGCCCCCAGGGTGCGTTGGGGAGCTCGTCCCTCCACCCCCCCGCCCTCCCCTGGCCCCCCCTCTAATCGGATTTTGGACCCCTGGGGAGGGGGAAAGGGGGAGGGGGACAGCCAAATGTTTCACACGCCTTTTCACCTCCGGCAAGCGGGGGTCGGCGGACTACCTTTTATGTTGAAATCGACGCTCTCGCTGCAGACATCCTCATAAAAGTATGAGGAACACGGCAGACCAACGCAGCTGTATGTTTCGACGTCGTTTCCAACAGTTGCCATTTCGCCAGGGACATCCTCAAAATTTCAAAAGTTCCCAGCATCTGAATGGTATCGTTGTCTAAGTGCCTCAAGGCAGAGAAACAATATCCCAAAAAGGACCCCAAGATGGCTCCAATAACGCCCTCAAGACTGCCGAAAATTACGATTCGCTTGGGATAACTTCGAAGCATGAAGCACATCTGACATCGCCCTTCAAGAAATGCGTGCTTAACATCGTATTGGAATCGCTCTCAAACTGCTTCAGGATAGCCCCAAAGAGCCTTCCGATAACGACGGTTTCGCTAGGGACATCCTCAAACATGATATCTTCCTAGCGTAATATTCCAACCATGTCGTGATAGCTTCAATACTTCCCAAAAGAGCCCCACATGGGCCCCAGGATGACCCCACGAGCGCCCTCAAGACGACAAGAAAATACGATTTCGCTAGGGGCATCCTCATCAAACTAATAATTTACCAGCATCGCTTTTGCAAACACAAACGTTTCACCTGATACATCCTCCTCCAAATGGGGATGTAGGAGGATTTGCCATCCGACGATGTTCCCTAAAAGTGAGGCTCTCTCTCTCTCTCTTTTTCTCTCTTTCTCTCTCTCTGCAGACATCCTCGCGAACATGCAACGTTGAAGTCTATTCCGAATTGTTGGCTTCTTCGAAATGTAGCTGCCGCTGCAAACATCATCAAACATGCAAGTTTTCGGTACCATCCCAATACATATGAAGCTCGTGCTGGTCTGCTGTCCTCCTGTGGTCTGCCGTGCTGGTCAGCCGTGCTCCTGTGGTCTGCCGCGTTGGTCTGTAGAGCTATTGTGGTCTGCCGTGTTGCTGTGGTGTCTCGTGTTGGTTTGCCGTGCTCCTGTGTTACCGTGCTCCTGTCGACTGCCGTGCTCCTGTGGTCTGTCGTGTTGGTCTGCCGTGCTCCTATAGACTGTCGTTTTGGTCCGCCGTGCTCCTGTGGTCTGCCATGATGGTCTGCCGTGCTCCTGTGGTCCGCTGTGCTGGTCTGCTGTGCTCCTTCTCGTTCTGCCGTGCTGGTCATCCGTTCACTTGTGGTCTGCCGTGCTGGTCTGCCGTTCTGCTGTGGTCTGCCGTGCTCGTCTGCCGTACTGCTGCGTTGTTGGTCTACGTTTCTGAGTTTCTGTGACGTCCTCAGCAGGACATTCTCTGGCAGGCTTCGTTGACACAGCGGCGATCCCCGTTCTTGTCCGGTCAGGTTTCTGAAAAATTGCCGTTTCGCTAGGGGGCATTCTCAAAAAATCGGTTCCGGAAGGGGTTCTGAGCCAACATCATCGTGGAATCGCTCCCGGAGGGTTCCAAGATGGCCCGAAGGAGTACCCAAAGGCTCCCCGGAGGACCCCCAAAGCGCCCTAAGGGGCACCCAAGAGGCCCCCAAGAGGCGCCCAGAGGCCCCCAAGAGCGCCGGACGAGGCTCCCATACTGCCCAAGAAAGCCCCAAAACGGCCCAAGAGGGCGCCAAGATGGCCCAAGAGAGCCCGCGCATACCCTCGAGACGCGCCCAGACAGCCCAAGAGGGCCCAAGAAGCCCCCAAGAGGCTCCCCGAAGGCTCCCAACAGGCCCTCGAAAAGGCTCCCAAGAGGGCCCCAAAGGGCCCAAGTGAGCTCCAAGAGCCCTCGACGGCCCACGAGGTCCATCATGCGCCCAGGGCGGCACACTAGCTCGACAGACCAGCAAGGCAGACCAGCACAATGAACCGACATTTAGTACATGTCTTGGTCTGAGGTGTTACGTTTCTGAGTTTCTTTGACGTTCTCAACCATACATCCTCTGACAAGCTTGCTCGCTAAAGCGGCGCTTCCCGTTCTTGTCCGGTCAGGTTCTTGAGCTCCCGTTGGTGCAATCGAGTACCCTCGAGGGCCGGGGGACTCAAAGTGTCGGTTCGAAATGCCCCTCGTGGTCTTGGGGCCCTCTTGGGAGTTTCTTGGGCCGTCCTGGAGTTCTCTTTGGGGCCTCCAGGGCAGCGTTGGACGCTGTTAAGAGCAAAGAAGCGAATACGCAAAGCATGTACGTTTTCCCAGCGTATTGGGACGGTTTTTGCTTCTTGGGACTTTTTCTGGGGTCGTCTCGGAGCCCTCTTGGGCCGTCTGGAGGCCATCTTTGGTGTTTTTGAGGCCTCCTCGACGTGTTGGAGCCCAGCTCCAGCTTCAATGGCATGGTGGACATCTTGGAGGCCGCGGAGTGCAGATTTGGGGGCTCTGGGGGCCCCGGGCATGCGCCGGGGAGTTCGTGCCCCAACCCCCGGGGAGCTCGTGCCCCCCCCCTGCCTGAACGGTGATTTGGGCCCTGGGGAGGGGGGAGGGGGAAAGGGGAAGTGGGACAGCCAACTGTCTCGCACGCCTTGTCACCTCTGGCAAGCGGGGGCCGGCGGATCCGCATGATGATCGGTTGCGCGGGGGCCACGTTCGTCACAAATCAGTTCTGGTGTTCCCTCATGTTCGCCCCGAACGTGGTGGGCACCGCCAACGCGACCGCAGCGGGGTGGGGCAACCTCGGCGGCGGCGTCACACAGATTTTCATCGTGTGGTGCCTGTTCAAGCCCTTCCAGGAGATGGGCGCGAGCTCTGACACGGCCTGGCGCCTGTCCATGGTCGTCCCCGGTTGCGTCTTCGTCGCGGTTGCCATCAGCATGAAGCTGTTTTGCTGGGACATGCCAACGGGGCCCCGCTTCAAGACCAGCGACACGGGCAAGACATCAAACGCGTCGATGTGGGACTACGTGGAGTGCCTGAAGGACCCCAGGATCGTCATTATGATCTTCCAGTACGGCGCCTGCTTTGGCACGGAGCTGGTCATGAACGCGCAGCTGGCCACCCATTTCCGCGTCTACTTCCAGATGGAGGCCGGCGCTGCCTCTGCCCTGGCAGGCTCCTTCGGCCTGATGAACTTGTTCGCGCGCTCATTGGGCGGCATCTTCAGCGATTTTCTTTTCGCCAGATTCGGTTTCTCTGGCCGTATTTGGGCTCAGTTCCTCTGCCTTTTCCTCGAGGGCATCTTCCTGCTCGGCTTCGGATCTGTGGAGAACTCGCAGCCATGGTACGTCGCCCTGGCCGTCTTGCTGTGTTTCTCTCTCTTCGTGCAGATGACCGAGGGCACCAGTTACGGCATCGTGCCGTTCATGAACCCGAAGCAGCTCGCGTGCACATCCGCGCTGGTGGGGGCGGGCGGGAACTTGGGCGCCGTGATCGCCCTGTGGTGTTTCTACAACACCCTTGGGCCCATCGACACCCTGCTCCCGTTCAAGGTCCACGGTGCCTACGTGATCTTTTGGGCGATGACCTCTCCGGCGTTCTACTGGGCCGACAAGGGCGGCATGTTCTGCGGCGCCAGTGACCCCGCCTTCCAGAAACCCGCGCCCAAGGAACCAACAGTGGCTTAGATCCAACTCGAGGGCCAGCCAGAGCGGCGAGAGAGAATCACAGCGCAGCCGCTTCTGCTAGATTTCTCCGTTGGGGGACAGTTGGGTGCCTGATGGAGTCTCGTACTTTTGCTGTCTCCGGGCGGCCTCGGGGGCCAAGGAGGGGGCCATTCCGGTGGCCGAGGAGGAAATCAACATTTGAGCGTCTGTAGAGGGCGAGCAGATGCCCCGAAGCGATGCTGGTCTGGAGCTCAGCACCGTGACTTTGTGGCGTTCCTGCGTCATGAGAGCCTCCGTAGAGGGCGGCCAGATGCCCCGAAGTGATGCTGGAGCGAAGCCCAGCACCGTGACTTTGTGACGCCCGACGTCTTCCTTCCCTCTTCCATGCCTCCCAAGAGTGCCCTACCCTCCCCTCCCCCGTCTGGTTTCCAATAATTTGCCGGCGTGAAGTGCGTGTCTGAAGGCCGTCTCATGCAACGGCAGAGCAATTTGTGTGTACGTTTTGCGGCCGCACTTGCGCGGCGGGAGGCAAGTTAAGCAAATATTGCTTGCTGTTTGGTTCAGAGCGAGGGTGCGAGCTTGACGGCCGTCTCTCAGCCCGCGTGCCATCCTGGCCCGCTAATCGGAGAAGGAGGACCATCGGAGGGGAGAGAAAATATCGCTGGTTCGGGGTGCCCACGTCACCAACCCCGACCAAGGATACCCCCCATTGGAAAGCACACACAGATGAAAGTGGCTGCTTGGTACGCCTTGCCTCATCATCCGCCTCCTCTGCCTCTCTCCGCTTCGTCCTCCCTCCCCCTTCTCGCACCTCGTCTCTCCTCCCCCTACCCTCCCTCCTCCCTCCTCTCTCGTCCCTTGTCCCTTCTCCATCCTCGCTCCTCCTCCTCCTCCCCCCCCTCCTCCTCTTCCTCCTCCTCTCTGTGACGACGACCGACGACGGCGGCGACCGACGACCGACGACCGACGACCGACGACGACCGACGACCGACGACCGACGACCGACGGCCGACGACCGACGGCCGACGGCCGACGACCGACGACGACCGACGACCGACGACCGACGACCGACGACCGACGACCGACGACGACCGACGACCGACGACCGACGACGAACGACGACGACGACGACGACGACGACGACGACGACGACGACGACGACGACGACGACGACGACGACGACTGACGACGACCTCGGTCCTCGATCCTTGAACCTCGATCCGTCCTCCGAGACCTCGGCCGATCTCGCCGGCGCTCGGGCGGCGCGAGGCCCCCTTGCTGCTCTCTGAGCTCGTCGGCCCGCTGGGAGGCCTGCCCAGGGATCGGCCGGGAGGCGCCCTCGCGGCGCACCCGCCGAGCGTTGTCCCCCAGGAGGGCGGAGGAGGAGTGCGGAGGAGGAGGAGGGCGGAGGTAGCAGCAGGAGGGAGGGGATGGAGGGCGAAGCAAGAGGAGGAGGAGGGCGGAGGAGGGCGTAGGAGGGCGGAGGAGAGCGGAGGAGGACGGAGGAGGGCGGAAGAGGGCGGAGGAGGGCGGAGGGACCACCTCACCGGACGGTCTGGCGGCTCGACAGAAGTCGAGGCGGCCGGCTCCTCGCTGCTTCGGGCCTCCGAGGGGCCAGTGTGTCGGGCCGCAGCGGCTGCGCAGAGAATGAGGAGAAGGTGTAGGAGGAGGAGTAGGAGGAGGAGGATTAAGAGGAGGAGGAAGAGGAGGAGCAGGATGAGTAGGAGGAGGAGTAGGAGGAGGAGGAGGAGGCTGGCTTCGTTTTCGTCCCCAGCGGAGGGGCTTTTCCCCATCGGAGGGGCTGGCGTTCTTGATGCATGTTCTTCTGTCCTCGCGCGCACTGTACATCTTCGGATGAGTTGGATGAGGAGGAGTAGGAGGAGTAAGGAGGAGGAGGAGGAGGTGGAGGAGGAGGAGGAGGAGGAATAGGATGAGGATGAGTTGGAGGAGGAGGAGGAGGAGGAGGAGGGGAGGAGGAGGAGGAGGAGTTGGAGGAGTAGGGGGAGGAGGAGGAGGAGGAGGAGGAGGAGGAGAAGGATGAGGAGTAGGAGGAGGAGGAGGAGAAAGAGAAAGAGGAGTAAGGAGGAGAAGGATGAGGATGAGGAGGAGGAGGAGGAGGCGGAGTAAGGAGGAGGAGGAGGAGGAGGCGGAGTAAGGAGGAGCAGGATGAGGAGGAGGGGGTGGAGGAGCAGGAGGAGAAGCAGGAGGAGGAGGCGCTGGAGGAGTAGGAGGAAAAGTAGGATGATGAGTAGGACGAGTAGGAGTAGGAGGAGGATGAGGAGGAGGAGGATGAGGAGAAGATGGAGGAGGAGGAGGAGTAGAGGAGGAGGATTAGGAGGAGGAGGAGGAATATGAGGAGGAGCAAGAGGAGGAGGAGTAGGAGGAGGAGGAGGCGGAGGAGGAGGAGGAGGCGCAACAAGGTTTCCGAAGGTGAACCTGCGTAATAATTATTCACATGTTTTATTTGATTCATTGATTGCTCTCCACGTACAGCCAGCGCAAGGATTAAGATGTGGGAGGGTGGCTTATGTTTGTTGATGAATGTTCTTCTGTCCTCGCGCGCACTGACCTTGCGGCTCGAACAACGATGACGGGCAGTGTGATAAGCTTTGTGTGGCGACAGAATTCCGTGAACCAGTATGCGCTTTCGGAATATCCCGCAACGCAGTTGGAGGAGGAGAAGTAGGAGGCGGAGGAGGAGGAGGAGGAGGAGTAAGGAGGAGGAGGAGGAGGAGGAATAGGATGAGGATCGGTTGGAGGAGGAGGCGTAGGGGGGGAGGAGGAGGAGGAGGAGGAGGAGGAGGAGGAGGAGGAGGAGGAGTACGGAGGAGGAGGAGGAGGAGGAGGAGCAGCAGCAGGAGGATTAGGATGAGGAGTAAGGAGGGGGTGGATGAGCAGGAGGAGGAGGAGCAGGAGGAGCAGGAGGAAGAGTAGGATGATGAGTAGGACGAGTAGGAGGAGGAGGAGTAGGCGTAGGAGGAAACGATAAGGAGTAGAAGGAGGAGCAGCAGGAGGATTAGCAGGAGAAGTAGGAGGAGGACCAGGAGGAGGAGGAGGAGGAGGAGGAGGAGGAGGCGGAGAGGAGAAGTCGTAACACGATTTCGTATCATTCGCACGTTTCCATTTGATTCATTGTGGAAAAGAAGGTTTCCACGTACAGTCAGCGCAAGGGTTAAGATCCTCTTTGTAAATCGAAGACGCCTACGGCGAATCACCACCGCCTCCCCTATTTGGGGCCTCTGGGAGACCCCTGGAGCCCGCTTGGGGAATAGTACTGGGGCCTTTTTGGACAATCTTTGAGCCTTCTTGGAGCCTCTTTGGGCATCTTGGAGCTCCGTGGGGTTCTCTTGGGCGAAGGTTCCCAGAGGCTGTTTTGGCAGATTGTCCCAGGCGAAACGCATATTTTCAAATACAAGTTGTGCAGGAGGAGGAGGAGCAGGAGGAGCAGGAGGAATAGTAGGATGATGAGTAGGACGAGTAGGAGGAGGAGGAGGAGTAGGCGTAGGAGGAACATATAAGGAGTAGGATGAGGAGCAGCAGGAGGATTAGCAGGAGAAGTAGGAGGATGACCATGAGGAGGAGGAGGATGAGGATGATGATGATGATGATGAGGAGGAGGAGGAGGAGTAGGAGGAGGAGGCGGATAGGAGAAGTCGTAACACGATTTCGTATCATTCGCACGTTTCCATTTAATTCATTTTGGAAAACAAGTTTTCCACGTACAGTCAGCGCAAAGGTTAATAGTCTTTTTGTAGATCGAAGACGCCTACGGCGAATCACCACCGCCTCCCCTATTTGGGGCTTCTGGGAGACCCCTGAAGCCCGCTTGGGGAATAGTATTGGGGCCTTTTGGACAATATTTGAACCTTCTTGGAGCCTCTTTGGGCCTCTTGGAGCTCCGTGGGGTTCTCTTGGGCGACGGTTCCCAGAGGCTGTTTTGGCAGATTGTACCAGGCGAAGCGAATATTTTCTAATACAAGTTGCTAAACATCCTAAGATTTTGAAGGTTTTGGCTTGTAGGCTTATTTATCTTGTACGCCATCCGAAACACTGTTAAGTAACCTATATTTGTTTGAAAATACGAAGATGATGTCATCAACGTGCAGATCCCAGGAGCAGGAGGACCAGTAGGAGGAGGAACAGGAGGAAGAGGAGGAGGAGGAAGAGAAGGAGGAGGAGGCGGAGGAGCAGAATTATAACGGAGAGCAGGAGAAGTCGCAGGAGGAGTAGGCGGAGACGGAGCAGGAGGAGCACGAGGAGGAGGAGTAAGGGAGGGAGCAGCGGGGGGAGGATGAGGAGCAGGATGAGGAGGAGCAGGAGGAGGAGGAGGAGGAGGAAGGAGGAGGAGGAGGAGGAGTGAGGGAGGAGGAGGAGGAGGAGGAGGAGAGGAGGAGGGGAGGAGGAGGAGGAGGAGGACGAGTAGGAGGAGAGGGAAGAGCAAGAGGAGGAAGATGAGGACGAGGAGGAGGAGGAGGAGAAGGAGGAGGATGAGGCGGAGGAGGAGGCCGAGGAGGAGGAGGAGGAGGAGGAGGAGGGGGAGGAGGGGGGAAGGGGGTGGACGGATGGAGAAGGGAGGAGGGAGGAGGGAGGAGGGGGGTCCTGGGGGGGCGCTCGAGGGGGCTGTCGTCGTCGTCGTCGTCGTCGTCGTCGTCGTCGTCGTCGTCGGTTGGAGAGGAAAGAGAGGGAGGAGGAGGGGGATGAGGGAGGAGGAGGAGGAGGGAGGATGAAGGAGGCGGAGGGGGAGCAGGAGAAATGGAGCAGGAGGAAGAGGACCCATGCACATTTTAATGTTTGTTCGATCCTGCAGCGCGTTTTTTTAAATGCGTGTCGGCGTTTGCGTCGATTTCCGTTTTTGCTTCCGCGTTAGTTTCCGCTCGGATTCGAGCTCCGTGTCGGTTGTCGTATCGGTCTCTGGTTCGGCGTCCGTTTCGATTCCCGTTTCGGCCGCCTCTTCGGTTAGTCGTGTCGGCTTTGGCGTTATATACGAGGTGTCATTGAAGGGCTCGTCGTCATTTTTGGCCGTCGTCATCGTCGTCGTCGTGTTTCCGTTTCGGTTTCCGCGTCGGTTTCCGTTTTATGTTTCCGTGTTGGATTTCTTGTTGGTCGTCAGTTTTTGGTTTGGTTTCCGCGTTAGTTTCCGCTTCGGCTCCCGCTTCGGTTGCAATTTCGGTTTCCGTGTCGGTTGTCGTGTTGGTTTTTGTTTCGATTTCCGTTTTGGATTCTGTTTCGGCCGTCTCTTTGGTTAATGGTGTCGGCCTTGGCGCTCTGTCCGAGGTATCGTTGGAGGATTCGTCGTCGTTTTTGGTTGTCGCCGTCGTCGTCGTGTTTCCCTTTTGGTTTCTGCGCCGCTTTCCGTTTTATGGTTCCGTGTTAGGTTTTTTGTTGGTTCTCTTTTCTGCGCCAGTGTCGTTGCCAGTGTTTGTTATTGTTTCGGTTACTTGTGTGGGCCTTGACGTGATGTTCTCTGCGGCCTCGGCGACATTCGAAGCCTCGCCTTCCCCCTTCCCTTCTTTGTCCATGGTGGGCACTTCTGCGGAAGGGGGACCCAAGGCACTCCCAGGGCACTGACTGCGGCCCACTCGGGTCGCGGGGTCAGGGGATCTGTTGGGAGGGGACCTGGCTTAGCCAAGAAACAAACACGAATAGCAACCTCTCAGTTTTTTGACCATGGTGGGCACCTCTGCGGAGGGGGACCCAAGCCATTCCCAGGGCACTGGCTGCGGCCCAGTCGGGCCGTTGGGTCAGGGGACTTGTTTGGGAGGGAACCTGACTTCGTAGGAGTGCGCTTCCCGCAGACGCGGCCATTGCTCTGGCCTCGACAGCAAGGCAAGGCCGTACGATTTCTCGCAGGTTGCCACGCCCGTTTTAATGTTTTTTTTTCGACGTGCGCAGGAGGGCCTTATCGTCTTCGTCGTCGGCGTCGTCGTCGTGGGTTTTTGTTGCGTCGTCGTCCAGGAACTCTGCGCGATCACGAAGGACGCCGACGACCAGCAAGTCACGAACTTTTGCACTCAGTCTGTGGCCCCCGCAGATGGCACGAGCAACGCCAGGGCTTGGTGGACGCGCACCCGCACCGCAAGGCGGCCAGTCGGTGCGTGCTCTGGCCATGAAGTGGGGTGTCTGGCAGTGGAGTATCTGGCCATGGCACTACCGCCCCACGTCGGCACACCCCTCACACGGTTCGTGGTCCAGAGGAAGATCTTTCGAGTTAGGAAGCCTCTGCGGCGGTGTCCCAGTTTACGGGCGCTGCCATTCAGAAGCAGACGAGCTCCCCATGCGAGCTCTCTGCCCTTGGAGATGGCGTCGCGCGTGCGCGTGGCCTTCCTCCGCGCACCATCACAGGACGTTGCGCTACGCCCAGGATGGCTGGACCAACCTGCGCAGGTCGAGCGCTGAATTTCTCGAGGCTAATGAGGCCACGGCCGAGCAGGCGCTCGCGGCCTGGCTTAGGGGCCACGACAACATTTCGGTTCGCGCAAGCAGTAGGCAGCTCGCGCGCGCGCTCCCCCCAGTTCGTCTTGTGGGCTTCGCCAACTGCGCGATCGACGCATGCAGGAAAACCGTATCGTCTTCGTCGTCGATGTCGTCTTGGGGCCGTCTTGGGGGCCTCTTGAGCCGTCTTGGGGCATTTGGACTTGGGTTCCTCGGTACTGGACCTGGGTTCCTCGGTATTGGTATCTCGGGGTCCTTGTGCTTGGTCGTGGAGCTCCTTGGTGTCGGTGTCTCGGGTTCCTTGGTCTTGATTACATGGTTCCTTGGTCTTGGGTTCTCGACATCTATGGCATCTCCCAGGCTTTGCCTAGAGGCTCCCATCTGTTCACCAATTCAGCGTTCCTCCCAGGCGCTCCCAGGAGTTTCTCAAAAGCCCCCCAAGAGCCTCAGAGTCGCTCAGAAGCTTTCAAAAGCTTGCGAGACGCTCTTCAGAACCTCTCACAAGCTTTCAATAGCCTGTCAGAGGCTCTCGGAGGCCTCGTAGAGGCTTCCAGAAACCCAGCAGAAACTCTGAGTGGGCTCGCAGAGGCTATCAGAGGCCTCGCAGAAGCCCTCGTGGGCCTCTTTCGACGATGAATGTGATGATGAATTATTTTTTCGACGACGGTGAGGAGGATGATGATGTTTTTTTTGACGGGCGCCCACGGCAGCCTCGAATGGCAGCGCTCAGGCGCCGCAGCACGAGCACTTCTTGAATTTCGGCAACTGCTTCGAGTGGCAGACAACGCAAAACCGCCGGACACGCCGGCAGGATCCTTGGCCGTACCTCAGCGTGCCGTAGCCGCACCGCGCGCACTTCAGCAGGCGGCCGCTGCCCCCAGGAATCCTAGACACAAGCTGCTCTGGAGTTTGGGGCGCCCGCCCCGGCCCGCAGGGATGCACGACGTCGTGCCCCTTATCTGGGCGGCCGTAGTTCTTGCAGTACGCGCAGACCCGCCCGTCTGCAGCGTCGGCAAGCTCGAGGCTCTTGTGCGCCAGTCCATCCTTGCCGCAGCTACGGTACCGCCTCATGTAGCAGGTCTGGTAGTAGTTGGACCACGCCACGGCTGCCTTGGCGGCCTGCCCGTTTCGGGCAGCACGGGTCGCAAGCGATATCCAGTCAGGCTCGTCACGGGCGGGGCCTTCGTTCAGGGCTTGGTATTGTTTCCCCGTGCCGAGGCACAGTCTCATGGGATTTTTCCCACTTTCCAGAGTGCGACAGTTTTGCACGCGCCTTCTGAACACTATCCGCGTCGACGCTGGCAGACAACTGATCGAGAAGCCTGCCTTTGTCTGGGGGCGGGAGCGTGCTGAATGTTACCGATGCGTTTCGCCGCAGCGACGCTGGCTTGAGCGCCCGCAAATGCACGCGAGCGTTCCAGTACCCATTATACGGGTCATCGTCCTTAGACGCCCGATGGGTCTGCAACTTGGGAGATCGCCAGCGCTAGAGCAGTTTCGCCCGGACAGGCCGGAGACCTGAAGGAGGTGCCCGACTCAAGGACTGCGCGGGCCCCGAGTCTGGCGGTGGGCGGCATGGGTAGTCAGGCGGGTCAGAGCAGCGCGGAGAGGAGCGAAGGCCGGGCTGTGAACGCCGACGCAGCCGAGAGATCGGGCGCGGCGCACGTGTACCGCGTTCGCGCAGTCGACAACGGGCACGCGTCCGCGGACGTGAGCCGGGGGGGTAGGGAGGAAGGGCTCACGAAGGCGGCAGGTCTCATGAAAGACCACCCCGCCGTGCCATCGGTCTCTGTGCACGGAGAAACGCTGGAAGGCGAGTGCATCTTCTCCCGTGGTGCCGTGGAGCTGCCGCGTGCACATTGCGCTTTTCGAGGGTGCGGGTGGCGGGGATCCAGCGAAGCGGAGCTGCGCGCACATGTGCTGGGCGAACATCGCGAGGCGTTGCGGCATGTCGCGGAGACGCTCGCGTGCCATGACGAAGACGAAGCCAAACGGAGTGAGACGCAGTGCTGGTCAGCGTACAACGAGGCGATCGCCTGGAAAGTGCGCGAGGGGGCGCCTCTCGCTTCACTGGCGATCGATCGTCGATGCCTACGCGAGTATGCGCGAAGTCTGGGAGAGGACGCCGTTCACTCTCTCGTTTGCATGGTGTGCGCGCGGAAGTTCCCCCGCGTGGAGGGCCGAAAGGGGAACCCGATTGAATGGCGCGCGGTGACGGCCAGCCGGGGCGGATTTTTCGGTCTCCCCGACGCGTTCGTGAGCGACAACATGACGGTGGACTCGTACCTGGAGCGGTTCGGCGAAGTAGATGGCGCTGGGGAGGGGAGCAGTGGCGTGCACCTTCGAGACCGCATGGACGAGTTCGAGGATTGGCACGTGTGCGTGCCATCAGGAGACGGGCCCATGAGAGGGCTCTGCTGCCCGGAGGACATGCGGTGCCACAGCGGCACGACGCACGCCGTGAATAGTGCATGCACCGGTTGTGAAGCCCCGTTGTGCGGGGAGTGCGGGAACGCGATGGCGGGGCCCCATGGCGAAGCGGCGCTCCCTCCTGCGTCGCTGGCCAATGACATGATGGCCTTTTATTCGCCAGAAGAGGTGTTCGGCGCCAAGGTTACGGTATGGAAAATGATTTGCGCGTCAGTGTGCATAACGTCGATGGTGTGTTTTACGCTGGAGAAGCGGCACCGGAAGGATCGGGATTTCGACGTGGAAGCGGGCGGCAACGAGGTCCGCATGGCGGCGCGCGGAAACGCCACTTCGTTCCCGATGCCGTGGGCGGATCTGCTAGCACAGTTGAGCGCAGCGGACGCAACTTCCGCGGAGAGGCGCGCGCCGCCGGTGCCGCGCACAGGTGCGGAGCTGGCCGGGATCGTGTCTGTGATACTGAAGTCTGGCGGCGACGACGATACGGCTGCAAGCATGGCCAAGTTCGTGCACCAGGCGTTGGTGCGTAGGAAGGTGGTCGTGGATCTGATTCAGGGAGCGAAAGCGCGGGGGCATCGCGCGTACCGACACGTGGACATGGAGGAGGTTCGGAAGAGGGCAATGGAGCTGCCAGAGGAAGGCGTGCCCCCGGAGATCATGCGCCTGGTACCCCTGGATGATGCCCTGGACAAGATCCAGATGCAGAAGGCCGCGACGCCCGTTCCGAGGCCCGACGGAGTAAGGGAGGCGGCAGATATTTTGGAGAGCACGAAGACGAACGCCGTGGTATGTGAGAAGAGCAGCTTCGACGAGGGAGATATCAATGCGCAGCGGATCGAGGCCGTGCGAACCTTCGTGCAACGGCTGGATGAGGAGTGCGCGCGCGGCGATGCGAACGGGACGTCGGATTCCAGCGAAGAAGAGGGCGGCGACGGGACGACGGAACGGGCGCGTAAACGCGTTCGCGTCCGCGAAGGGGCGGGCCCGGGGGCGGAGCAGACGTCGCGGGCGGCGGCGGAGCGCGTCATGCTGGAGCAGGCGACGACCGAGGGGAAGCGCGTGGACCGCCTTCGCGTGCGCACGGGAAACGTTATGATGGATCAGTTCGAGCCCTGGTACTTTGGCGTCGCGTTCGCGTTTTTGTTCAAGTACTGCACGGGGATGCCAGATGGCCCTGAGTTCATGAAGCGTCCGCGTCATCGCAGGGGGAATGGGGCGCCGCGTGTAGAGCTGCCACTGTGGGTGCGGATTATGAGTCGTCGCGTCGAGAGCCAGTTGTGTCGCGATTGGCATTTCGGGTTCGCGTCGTGGAACCTCGTGTTCCGCTCGGCGGTGAACCTGAGCAAAACGTGGTTCACGTGCGTGGCACCGAGCGCCACGGGCGAGGTGGAACAGCTGACGCCTGAGCAGATCGGCGAAGGCGCCAAACAGATTTACCGCGCGCTAGACATGAAGTACGTGGACATCAACGGCAGAAAGCAGAAGGTCAAGGGCGACATGACGAAAGTTCGGCACGTGCCACATCTGGGGAAAGCCGCACACACTTTAAGGGTAGGTCTTTGGGAGATGTTATAGTATCGGGAGCATAGCTCGCGCGCGCCGTTGCCTTTGGCCCAAGGCACGCGCGCCCTATTTGCCCGGACACCGCGAGTGTTCGCTATGTGCTGGAAAGATCATTACATCGATCTTATCCTATCTTATCCGTCCACCCCTCATACTGTACTATCACAGCAGAGCGATGGACGCTATTTGCCATCCGATGTCTATCATGGAATCGGATGCTATTTGAGTTACCAGGCTCACTTTCGACTTGGTAGCGGAGCTGGCCGCACTCTCGTGTGGTCAGCTCTTGCTCTTCTTAGCCTCATATTCGTCGGCGCGATCTTCGTGACCACCTACCACCCTGCGCCACCACTCCCAGTACGTTTACGAGGATCTATCCAAGAGCAAGAAGCAACACGAGAGGTACGACGTCTAGACGACCAGACTGGTACCATATACGCTTCATCATTGCGTTACCACCAACCGCTCGGCAACGAGCTAACAGCGCAATACTTGAAGCAGGGGCGGGGGGACCCGCCAGACAGAGCGCCTCGAAGACTCGACAAGGCGCTACCCCAGCGCGACAACGCGCATCATAACCGTCCTTCTCTACACATTCTCGGGCTAGTCGTTTTCGCTATTATATGGTTCGCGCTGGGGGCAGCAATCGGACACATGCGTCGTGGAGAAAACAGCACCGATGGGCAAACACATGGCCCATATTGGGACCCTCAAGGTAATGTACCTTTTCGTGAGTACATCTACGAGGTCAACGCATGGCTCAACGTTACAAGCGGACGTATGACGCCACAGGCCCAAGCGGCCGCAATACAACGCGGCCTAGGTGGCCTAGCGAGGACACTCGCCATGAGGGTACCGCCTGACATTATAAACTATGGTGCTGACATCGATGGGGTCCACACAGACCCAGTGACCTACATCATGTCCCTCCTAAGCATGAAGTTCGAACGCCTGGAAGATGAGCGACAGCTCACTTCCGGCACAACTCATCGACTTCCACGTGCCTCACGGGGAACGAATCGACGTCACCCTTACCCGATTCGAAATGGCCCGACTTGAGGCACAGTCGGTGGGATTCGACCTTCCCAACTTCCAACCGTTAACCACTATCCTATTCCGCGCCTTAGGCGTCGGCAGCCAGCGAGCCATGCAACTCTTACAGCCACTCAATCACCAAATGCCCCGAACACAACAACAGTATGATGAATTGCTGGAGAGGATGCGTTCGATAGGCCACCTATCTGAACGGTCTCCTGGTAACATAGGATCTGTGTTTGGAAGGGGAAGGGGATCTGGTAGTGGAAATTTCTACACTACCTTGACTACTGAAGCCCAGCCTGGAAACGGGCCCTCAAGCATATGGGCCGATGACCCAGGAGAATCCACTGCTTTATTAGCAGGGGATCGATCACAACCAAGCTGGGCAACCAGCCCTACTTCTAGAGAACCACAACCACACCGCTCCTTATGGGGGGAATCAAACCCCCTAGCCGACGGTGTATCCACCTATTTGGGAGACGAGGATTTCGACTCCGGCACCGATACAGACACTATATCATCAGATGGTGCTGAAGCTCTAGATTGGTCAGATATCATGAATATGGATAACGACAATCAGCGTGCTGAACATTTGTTCTGGTTACTACAACAAGCTAAACGAAGGTGGAGGAGGTTCACACGAAAACCAGTGCGTCGTGTTAGAAGGAGGATACGGAGAAGTTTTAAGGGAAAAGGTAAAGGTAAGCGAGGTCGTCGGAGGTTGAACGGACGAGGCATCGCGGCATTTCTCCAGAGGCTCTCAGATGAACAACATGATGAGATATTCTTTGGGGGAAAAGGCCGTGGTAAAGGCCGTAGAGAGACCTCAGGAAAAGGCAAAGGTAGGCGGGGAAACCCGCGAGGTAGAGACGGCCAGGTTCTTAAATGCCATGAATGTGGTAGTTCCGATCATCTTGTGCGAGATTGTCCAGTGAAGGGAAATGGAAAGGGCAGGTCGACCGAAGTCCATTTTGGCTCAAGTGAACCATCCATTGAGTATCTGAGCCTCCAGGACTTTGAGGCTATGGAGCAGATATTTTTCACTTGGGTTGTTGGCATGGACAACGTCGACGAGCTCGAGGCGTATGGTCATGGATTGTACGCGTACTACCTCGAGTACGTCCGCCGGTTCGTTATTGGCAATAACGAGCTCACTCCCGTGGATCACGGTACGCTGGGAAACCAGCCTCTTTCTTTCTTCGACTGGATGTTCGGGAACCCAGGCAACATCATGGCCTACGAGAGTAGCGACGAGGACACCACTATAGAGGCTTCGCCTTCCGAGGTTCAACGACACCTCGAACCTCCGCCCGAAATCCCGCCTGGAAACAGGCCGTCTTTGATGGGAGAATATCCCCAGACCACTGAAGACTTAATTGAAATGGAGTCTCAGGCATTTGTTCAGGCCTTCATTGCAGGCGAACCAGATACTCCGTTTATACCTCCTGGCTCGCTTGCTCCAGGCGAATATGGACCACGCACCCTTTTGCAGACCCTCATGAGGATGCATGAGATACTTATTACTGGTTATCCTGAGAGTCAAGAACATATCGAAGCTGACATTATGATAATGAAGGATACTGATGCTTGTGGTAGCTCAGAGCTGTTGTTGGCAGCTCTGACTCTCATTGACAGCGTGCATCCTCAGGGCGTGCAGAGACACTTGATCTACTCCCGTGGTAGGTAGATGGCGTCATGCTCTAGAAATGGCTATTGCTATGCGCGGTCATGATCTTCCTCCGCCAGGATGGGGTCTCCAGGCGGTGGGAATGTGGCCAAACCATACGGCCATGCGCAATATTGCCGGGCAGCCTGTGCTCGGCAACGAGCCTGAGCCGACAACAGCGCCTCCTACCCCGGGACAGCCGAGCGACGCACAGACGCCGGCTATGCAGGGAACCCTGCCTGTACCAGATACGCCAATGGCCATCATCATAGGTAGTTCGACATCAGAAGAAGTTGAAGGCGATGGTTGCGGGTTGGATGAGGATGACGTCACCATCCTCATGATGGACGTGAATGGTGAGGAAGAGGTTGACTTCGATCCTGACGAGTCTGAATCATCATCACCATCGGCACAAGCGCCATTTGCGCCGAGCTCCATCCAGCAGGGAGACCTGCCTCCATCGGACGATCCATCTGGGATCGCACAGGAGCCTCCTCAGGCACCTCCACCGGGTGCCGCTCCTGCTGCTTCGGCAGCTTCTTCTGATGAGAGCACCAGAAGGTCTCGTTCCCATACGCGCGTCAAAGAAGAGCCACATCCACAGGCTCGACTTCTTCGTGAGTGGAGGCAGGCTGGCCCAAAAGAACACGCTCTTAGGAGAGGTGGCCAGCTACTTCCGTACAACGACCCAAGACGCCGAAAAGGGGAACACTCGGCCTTCGGCAAGGGCAACCCTGCCTATAGGGACAGTGATGGCAAGGCCATCCGCGGAGGCTATCAGCTTGCAACAAATATCCGCCGCCCTGAAATTCAAGAAGCGCGGACTCAGCTGCGAGACATTATCGCGGCGCGCAAGCAGTATAGGCCTCACGCAGCATGCGGACCTTGTTCCGAGCCGTTCCAGAACCACAGGCCAGGATGCCCCGTTGGCAACAACGAAGGCCTGAGCCCCAACAGGGGCAAAACCCCTCATAAAGAGGGCCATCCGCAACGTATCCCGATGACACAGGACGAGATCGCAGAAGTGAATCGTCGTCTCGGGATCTTGAGCCACCTGGATCCGAAAGAAGAAGAGAAGCCTACTCCTGTTCCAAGGGGACTGGTAGCCACGACCCAGGAAGAAAAAGACGCGCTCTTTAGTCTTCCTAGTATGCGAGGAAACTTGCCTGGCGTCTCTAGCCAGTCCCAACAACCAGAACCGACAATCAAGGACGAGAAAAAGGCTCAACGTGTGGCGGAGGACGAGGAGCGTATGCGGACAGCAGAAGAACGCACTCGCGAGGCAACTCGCAAGATGTTGGGGGATTCTAGTAAGATCTACATGAAGGGGGCTACGAAGCCCCCACTCCCACTAACTTCGAAGGCTAAGAGTGAACCCCCGACACCTAAGCTGTCCTCGGTGCCGAAACCGAAGACGAGCCCTCAGGACCCTGGGCCAGACGTGCAGATGGAGGTGCCTCGAACTGAAATTCCGAGGCCGCCGATTGGCGCAACTCCTACACAAGCGTCTGAGCCCAAGCAGCAACCTCAGGACCCTATGGAGGAACGAAGACGCCCGCCTAGTCGCAGCAGCTCCATTGCGAAAAAGGCGGCAGCTTTCGAGCGCAGTGGGTATGCACCTGCGCCAGCTTCGCCTGTGGCGGCCCGTTCCAGGAGGTCCGATGAAGGTGCTATGTCGAGGGGTACCTGGGCGCCGAAGATCAGGGGCAGCGCCAGTCGCGCATCTCCGCGGGGAAACCCGCCAGGCGCTGCCGCCGCAGCTTCCTCCTCTTCAGGAGCTGCAGCCTCTTCAGCAACAGAGGTTCCGATGCGGGGAAACCCGCCAGTGGTTCAGCTGCACCACCCAGGCGACACGTCCTTCACTAGTGGGACTCCGAAGGTGATCAGGGATAGACTTGCGCTTCGGAAGATCCCACCGATACGCTCGGTGGATGAGACATTCATGAAGGAATGCAGGAAAGCTGGAATCCTTCCCACATCAAATGACATTCTCAAACAGCTGAGTAAAGCTCTCAGCAGGATATGCAGACATGCGCCAGACAGACCACACAATCCTGTGTGGGGCCTGGAATCCTTCGATGATCATGATGGTTGGGTTAACCTAGTGGAACTCGTTGACCATTATCCGTGGAACACAGGTCAATCAAGACACGCTGGGTATAATCCAAAGTATGACGAGGCCAAGGTCATCAACGAGCAGCTATATGGGCGCTCGGTTGACCAACTAGCAGC